CCAACTGCCCCAACCATTGTTGGAATTTAGTTGACATAAATTCAGTACCTCTGTCAGTTTGCAACTGACACACTTGTTGTCTGTACCTTCTCTCTACAAAACTTACCCACTGTTTGAATTGTTGTAGTACCTCTGTCTTATCTCTAAGCAAGTAGCAAAAACTATACCTGCTAAAATCATCAACAATTACCAGTGCATACTTTGCTCCTCCCAAACTGGCTTGCATAGGTCCCACCAAATCTGCATGGACCAGCTCTAGAGCTCTTTTTGTTTGTCTTGTGCTATATTTACTAACTGGGAATGCCTTTGACTTCGATGCTTTGCATACTGCACAGTCCAAATATGTTCTGCATCCCTTCAAATTTAGCCCTTCTGCAAACTCTTGCATTTGCTGCAAAACTTTAAAGCTTGCATGACCAAGTCTTCTATGTAGAAGATGAACGCATGAATCATGCTCTGCAACATTCTTAAATATATGGGAACATTGAACCTTTTGTCCCCGCAATACATATAGATTATCTTCCTTTATGCCTTCTGCACAAATATTCCCATTCCTTTTGATGAGACACTTCCCATTTACAAAAATGATCTCAAAACCTTGTTTGTCTAAATTAGACACACTTAACAAATTATGTTCCATCTCAGGTACACAAAGCACATTGGTACACTTTGATTCCAAATATGGAATTTTTACATCGCCTCTTCCGACCACTTTTGCTTTCTGGCCATTTGCCAAAGCCACAGCTTCTTGTGTTACTGGAACAAACCTGCAAAATAATTCAGAGTCATTAACAATTGTTTGACTTGCCCCACTATCTATTAGCCACTTGTCTCTGTTGTTGCTATAGCAAACTTTTGCAACACCAAAATGTTCCTTTTGCAAATCAGTCTTCTTTGCATGCACAAATGTCTTTTGCTGCAAATTGTTCCTCTGCAAACAGTTCCTTTTCAGATGTGTGCTAGCTCCACAAATGTAGCAATTCTTTTCTTGCAAAACTCTCTGTCTGCAAAATCTCTCTTTTGTTGCAATTTGGTCCCATCTGCTGCTTGTTCCTTCTCCTCCGGAGACTTGCAGTCTGGACCCCCTCCTCGGGAATTTCTCCTCCTCGTGGCTACTTTTAAAATTGTGTTTCTCTTCTTCATTAAGCAAACATGCCTTTAAAGCCTCAAAATTTAAGTCCTTCTCTTCTTTGCATTCAAATATCGCAGAAACTGTGTCCCAGGTTTTATCTAAACTGTTTGTTAGAGAATTTTAATTTTCTCTGTTGGTAAAAATAAATCAGAAGCTCTCACAGTTGACTGCATTTAGCTGATTCAAATAAACTCTTTATATTCATATAAAATTATTTACAATACCATACATTCTTCTTTACAGCAACATAACACAACGTAGACTTCTTACAGCAGAGACAGACCTGAGACTGAAACTGAAACCCAGCTTCTAACTCAATACCTTTTGCACAGACTCAGTAGCCCTTTACTCACATTGGCTGACTGAGCTACCACATGACTCTTCCTGCTCATGAATATTCCAACACTGNGCATTTTATTTAAATGCTGTTCCACAGATTCACCTGGTTGCAAACAGGCTCTGTAAAGTTTTCTTGACAATTGCACTATATTGCATGCAGAAACATTCACGTGCACAGCTCTCAACTTCAGCCAAATTTCCTTTGCAGTCTTTAGATTTGCAACATTTAGAAACTGTTCATCATCTAAATTCAAGATGAGATAAGCCATTGCTTGATCATGGCTTTTCTGATCAGTAGCTGCAAATACTTGTGGGGGATTTTCTACAATATACCACAGCTCTTTTGCTTTCAGCAAACATTCCATCTTCGCAGCCCATATAATGTAATTCTTTTGGCCTAAATGAGGCACAGAGCTTTCCTTAAATTCCATTGCAGCCATTCTGCTAATTCTGCCTTGTTCTTATACTTTTCTAAACACAGGCAATTTCTTCCAGCTTTAAATTACAATGCAGTCCTTAGTAAGCTCTGGGCCCATAACCTGTTAGATAATTTTAATTTCTCTATTGGTGAAAATAAATCAGCAACTCTCACAGTTGACTGCATTTAGGTGATTCAAATAAACTCTTTATATTCATATAAAATTATTTACAATACCATACATTCTTCTTTACAGCAACATAGCATAAATGAAGACTTCTTACAGCAGACATAGACCAGAGACTGAAACTGAAACCCAGCTTCTAACTCAATACCTCTTTGCACAGACTCAGTAGCACTTTCTTCACATTGGCTGACTGAGTTACCACATGACTCTTCCTGCTCATGAATATTCCAACACATAACAATGAAACAGAATTATATCGAACATTCAGCCATTGGTCCGCTTGAAGTTTTTTTCTTATTTCACAGACTTACAGAGCTTCTACACTGTGTGGGTCCTTTTATGGTAGTTAAGATAACTGTTCAAAATAAAACTCTTTCCACATTCCATGCATTTATAGGGCTTCTCCCTTGTGTGGATTCTTTTATGGGTGGTAAGATACCTGTTCATAGAAAAACTCTTTCCACATTCCACACATTTATAAGGCTTCTCTCCTGTATGGCTCCGGTAATGCAAAGTAAGAGAATAATTAGAAGCGAAGGTCTTTCCACATTCAATGCATTTATAGGGCTTCTCCCTTGTGTGGATTCTTTTATGGGTGGTAAGATACTTGTTCATAGAAAAACTCTTTCCACATTCCACACATTTATAAGGCTTCTCCCCTGTATGGCTCCGGTAATGCAAAGTAAGAGAATAATTAGAAGCAAAGCTCTTTCCACATTCCATGCATTTATAAGCCTTCTCCCCTGAGTGGATCTTTTTATGGATATTAAGATACCTGTTCGTAGAAAAACTCTTTCCACATTCCACACATTTATAAGGCTTCTCCCCTGTATGGCTCCGGTAATGCAAAGTAAGAGAATAATTAGAAGCGAAGCTCTTTCCACATTCCATGCATTTAGAAGGCTTCTCCCCTGTGTGGATCCTTTTATGGATGTTAAGATAACTCTTCGTAGAAAAACTCTTTCCACATTCCATGCATTTATGAGGCTTCTCCCCTGAGTAGATCTTTTTATGGATGGTAAGATTACCCTTGGTAAAAAAACTCTTTCCACATTCCATGCATTTATAAGGCTTCTTCCCTGTGTGGATCTTTTTATGGATGGTAAGATTACCGTTGGTAGAAAAACTCTTTCCACATTCCACACATTTATAAGGCTTCTCCCCTGTATGGATCCGGTAATGTAAAGTGAGAGAATTACTAAAAGTGAAGCTCATTCCACACTCCAGGCATTTATAGGGCTTCTCCCCTGTGTGGGTCCTTTTATGGGAATTAAGAATACTTTTTGTAGAAAAACTCTTTCCACAGTCCATGCATTTATAGGGCTTCTCCCCTGTATGGACCCTTAAGTGGGAAGTAAGAGAAGAACTAGAAGTGAAGCTCTTTCCACAGTCCATGCATTTATAGGGCTTCTCACCTGTGTGGATCCTTCTATGTAATCTAAGATAACTTCTAAAAATAAAGCTCTTTCCACAGTCCATGCATTTATAGGGCTTCTCGCCTGTGTGGGTCCTTTTTTGAGATGTACGGGACCCATTTTTATGAGGAAGAGACAAAGTCCATTTGTAATCTTTTCCACTGTCCCCAGATATATAATCTTCTCCTTTGGTTTGAGTCTGATAGTATTTATTTACATTTAATTTCTTTATGAATACCTTTGTATGTTTTCCAATATATTTCTTTTTTATTTTCCTTTGTTGGACCACAGAGGCTTTAGTTGGTGCATGAATAGAAGATGAATTTTCCCAATTGCAGTTATTTGACTGGTTTCTCTCATGGCTTTCTACTTCCATTAGATCTGTGGCGTTCTTCGTATTGTACCCACGAGTGATCATTTGGAATAGTTCCCAGGAATCTTCATATTCCTCTCCATTACCTTCACAGGAAAATAAAAATAAAAATAACTTTAGGGAAAAAGAGCAAAGCATAGGAAGTTTGAATATAATGAAAAAACAAACTGCTTCAATCTTGTCAGAGAAGCCCTTCAAGAATTTGATCTGGATTTTCTTGATTAAAATTTTGGAAGATAAATCTAGCTTTGTATGGCTAGGGCAAAACCATAGATTAAATATCAAATTCTCCAAAATTCGAACGAAAGGGGAAGGTTTGGTTTGCCCGATTTGAAATTGGAATTTGTAGTCTGCTATATAGTTTGGATAATAAACAGGAGTTGTTCAGAATTAAGAGAATGTTATAACTACAGTAAGGGAAAAAAATCCAGAAAAACACATTTCAAAAAAGATATAAATTGATTTGCATTTTAATAAGTAAAATAAATATTTGATCCCCTATCAATCAACAAGCTTTCTGGTTCCCAGGTGTCTTTTATACAGGTAACGAGCTGAGGATTTGGTTTTCTCAATTTGAAATTGGACTTTGTAGTCTACTATGTGGTTTGGATAAGAAACAGGAGTTGCTCCAAATTAAGAGAATGTTATAACTAGAAGGGCATGACAGAGGTTTGCATGCCATGGATGCCATGGTACGATAAATTTAGGCTCAATCTACAGCAGAGGTGTCAAACTGCTGGCCCATGGGCCGGATGCGTCATGGCAAAACTGCACCCACCCCATTGCCGGCAATGGCAAAAAAGTACAATATGTCACGAGATGTCACGTGACGTTGCGAGTTTGACACCCCTGATCTATAGTTTAAAACCATAATGTTAGAAATACCAAGTTGAGAATATGAAACAGATATAAAATCAGGCTGTGCCCCAAAACATCTTAATGACTCTTAGCAGAAAAAAAACAGCAGGAAAAGACAATGGATAACATGTCGAGAGCCGTTAGAACTTGAGATGTGGGAACACCAAACTAAGTCAAGAATGGCAAAAGAATACAACTGTCAGTAGTTTTCATATTGTCAGAAAGATTCCAGGTAGATAAAGGGAACTATAGTATTCAACAAGATAAAACAGATTTGAATCTCAAGTTGTGTACAAAAGATACGCAATTGTTAAAACCTCTAAACAGGCTGAGGAATACGAACAGAAAAATATTCAAAAGTGTATAAATGTACCCCGAACTAATATTGGAAACGTAGATAAAATAAACGATTATTTTGTCATGCTCTGGTGGACTTGTAAAAAAGCTAGAAAAGTTTGAATTCAAAGACATTCATTGATACAGAGAACTTTAAAGATTAATATCCAACTGTAATCAGAACACTTTATGTTGGCACTAATCTAACAGTCATCGAAGATTGTTTCGGAATATGATAACTATAATGAGACTATTATAGACAAAAAGCTGGAAGGGCTCTTACCCAAAGAGGCCACATTCCTATGATTTTCCAGCATGACTTCCCAATGCAGTGCTTTTTGTTCCGCATCCAGCTGAGACCACTCCTCTTCGGAGAAATACACAGCCACCTCCTTAAAGGATACAAGGCCATTCTAAATGACAAGAAAACAGAACAAAAACTGAGAGGATTTTAAAAACAAATAAAGATGTACATTTCAGGCCATTCAGTGGAAGGAATCCCACTTGTCATCTGGATCTTTCTGTCTGTCTATCTATCCCCATCCATCAACAAGACTTTCAGCATCTGGAGAGAATCAACTGGTATGGGCCTTGGAAACCCCACCTATCACTCACTCCCATACACCCAGCAGTTGCAGAAGAAAATGCAGGTGGAGGGGTTCTTTTTACCATTTAAGTAAAAGCCTTGTGGTGTTTCCAGAACACACAATCTTACCCATGCTCAAAACCTTCATTAAAGTTGTTTGAGAGCCACCCAGGGATTTTCATGGCTGTCATGAATAGATAAAGGAACACAAGCCCTGTTTCGGCTGCTCCTCAGATTACAAGGAATCCACTGCTTGTATCCCAACCCAATGGCTGAAGAAGAGAAACCTGTTCGGGAAGAGCATTTCTCATCCTTTCCAAAGCTGGATTGTTTGGCCCCAAATTCCAGGCACAAATCGGAGTATTAGAAATTCCTCTAAAGGCTGAAGGGCCTTGATCTGCCCACCCTCTTTGGATTTTAACAGTCTGCTTCATCTTTTAACCTGGTGCCAGTATTTTTCTTATCACTGGCTATAAACAAGGCGTTTTAGAAGCTGTAAGGTGCCAATGTGATTCTTTCCGTTATTATTGCGCAATTCCGTGCCAAAGGATTACTAATAGGATTACTATTCAGAAAATGCTAACATTGAGAACATTTTATGTTTTATTATCCCTCTCTTACTTGAGTTGCAGTTTCAATCACTCTTTCAGCAGCACTATAGAAAGGAGTTAAATTCGTTCTATTCTTCCCTGTGAGGGAGACAGAATTTTAAATGGATAATTAATAAAAGGGCAGGAGGCATTCTACAGAAGAGAAGAGGGAGAAAATAAGACAGCTGGGATCTCTCTTGGGAATGGGTGGATTTTTGATTACCATCTGAGATGTCCTGACTTGTGGATTTCTGATAGATCCTCCTGGAAAACAGCTCCTGAGGAGAATTTGATGGATTCCTGATTCTCATAGGATCTCTGGTCTGCAGAGGAAAAGACTTGAATAAGACATCACACAACATAAAGTGGATTCTTATTCTCTAAAAACAACTTCAATGCCCCAGTATCAATCAATGAGCCTAGAATGTAAGAAAGGAACAGCTATTTCCAGTCTATCTTCTAGAATGGATAATGGAACAATGTCCTGCAAGAACTAGCGAAACATCTAAACATATTATGAAAAGCAGAAAAATACGGAAGGGAGGGGTGAATAATTCAAACACATATTTTATTCCCTTGTGGACTTCCAAGGTGAAGGACTCTCACTTCTACTTCGACTTGCTCCTTCTGCTCCTCTGCCTGACTCAGGAGGAAGCCTTCCGCCAGGGCCACCGCTTGGGAGCTGGTCTCTGCTCCACACTCCCGCAACCAGTTTGCCATCAGAGGGGGCAGAAGGGTCAGCAGCTGCTCCAGAACTACTAGGTCCAACATCTGGGCTTTGGAGTGCTTTTCTGGTCTCAGCCATTGACTATAAAAGTTGTGGAGTCGGCTGCAAAGTCCTCGGGGACCATCAATCTCCTGATATTGGATGTTTCTGAAGTTGCAGGGCTGAATCTCTGAACGGATGATGGTTTTCTCCTCCAGGAACCTCTGCTCAGTTTTTGCCCAGATCTTCCCACAGCTGCCAGGCTCAACAGCAGAGGGGCCTTTTCCAGTTGCCTCACTTGCTAACGGTTGTTTCTGCATCCTTTGTCTGTCCTGGAAGGAAATTCCATACAGGACGAAGGAATCTTGTGGATCTCCAAACACCGTTCAATTCATAGGACTATTCCGGTAGCTGCAGAACTGACCAAAGGCTATCCAAGAGTTAACTTTTTGTTGTTAGGAATGTAGTTGACATTACTCTAGTTTCTGCATCTGAAATGGAAAAGAAAATAAATTCAAAAAATGAGAAGGTGATGGACAACAGTCCTCCTCATGAAAGGGAAGCTGGTAAAGGATTGCATAGGTATTCAGCAGATGGATCCTCTGGGTATTTCTCTTTTTGTCTGTCCATCAAGTGTGGTGTCAAATATGGTCCTAGATTACATCAAGATATGGAATATTTTATATTTGATTATAAAAGAAATGTTTTATATTTGGTGGATTTTCAATATTTTTTCCCTGAAGGACAAGTTAGTTCCCTTTCACATTTAAGATCATATATACCCTACAATTAGGGATCATACAAGATGCTAGAACTCAAAGTTATTATTATTATTTATTAAATTTATATACCGCCCTATCTCCCTTACGGGACTCAGGGCGGTAAACAGGCGATACTAAAAACCACGATAAATATAAACAAGTTTCTGTTGTAAAATCAAATTAAATAACAGGCCTGCTCTAAAAACACCCAATACAAAACCCCCACTGAAACATAATCAAACTACGCCAGGCCGGCCGCACGGAATAGATGGGCCTTCAGGGCTCGGCAAAAAAGTGCTTAAGAAACTGCAATGAAATACAGAATTTTGACACGTTTCTTGTCCTTCATGTTGAGACATTTAGGCATTAGACATTTACCAGTATTAAGGATGTTACTCCCTCTTGTTTTTAAGTTTGTATGTTTGTAAGTAACTGGAACCATAGAGAAGAGAAAAGGAGGAAGTTCCAAAAATGGCTCATCCCAAGTTTACCTTTTGTCAGTGAGGAAAAGGAAGAAAACCCCTAATATGGATAATGCTGAATGAAATGATCCTGGGAAGGAACAACATTCTAACGATGCCATGAAGGTTGAAATGAAATGCCAAGAAAATGACCCTGGTTTAGGATGCTCACTTCCTGTTTTTCAGTGTTGGCTGACCCCAAACTGGTTAACCAACCATAAGGGCAAAGTTCACATGAAACACAGTTCACCCACCCTCTTAACTGTAATAATAATAATAGAGTTGGAAGGGACCTTGGAGGTCTTCTAGTCCAACCCCCTGCTCAGACAGGAAACCCTATCTATACTGCACCTATACTGCACTAAAGATTTGCACCTTCTATTTCCAAAATGGAAAACCAAAGTAAGTACTCAAACT